GCGCGGCGTCGTAACAAAATGAGTGTCCTCCCTAGTCAAAATCGACATTCCGGTCTCGCTGACGCAGTCCGTTTTGTTATCCGGGGTCGCTCGGACGACGTCGTCGACAATCGGGCCAAAAACACATCAAAATTCAAATTTCACAAAATTTCGACCCGTGATCGATCGTTTCAAAAGGTTTATTCGAGTCTTCGACAGGTAACAGTGCAAGCGATGTGAATTGTGGCGATCGGACGTGTCGATTCTCCGAATTGCAAGATTTGTGTGCGCGGGAGTGCGAATTATGCAGAAGGCCACCTTAAGGCTCAAAAGGTCCTATAGGAATTTCTTTTGGGTTTCCTCATGTTGGTTTCACTCTTCTAAGTGCTAGAAGTCGATATCACACATGAGAAACTCCAAAAGGGTACAGAAGTGAGTTGAATTTCTAAAACGAGGCGGGTCCCATTTCTAAGGTTCTAAGATAGTCAAAGGGAGATCCCTAAGGCTAGATCCTAAACCCTAAGAGGAAGACTAGACCTCACAAAAAATGAGGTCAACAGTAAATTTATGTGATTAAATCAATTTAAAATATAAAAAAAACCTGTACAAATATTGATTATGTTGGATGGATCAGTTAATAATAGGAAGCCACATTTTGGATGTTGCCTTTGTTGGTGAAACCTTCTGACTTGAGAAATTAATAAGAAAGCATTATGAGTAGATCATCTGTTGAAGCAAAAAATATTGGGTCGCAGCTGATTCGGCCTATAAGATGATGTGGGTGAAAAGTCTTTTTGAAGGGTTTGGTTTTATTGTAACTAGCTCATGATTTAAAAAAATGTGCTAATAAATTTGCTTTCTCTATTCTAGCGACCCGACCTTTTATAAGAGGACTAAGCACATTGAACATGACTATCATTTTTTTTTGATGAAGGTCATCACTCCTCTTTATGCTTACCACATTTGGTTAATATATTTATCAATTTGCTTGGACCTCTTCATTTCTTAAATTTATGTAATTTTTTTATTAAAATTTTGATCTAATTGGTGTATGAGCTCCAGTTTGAGGTAAATTTGTAGTATAAGAAAATATCTTGCATTCATTTCACTATTATATATAAGGGGTTCTCTGGTGAATAATACACATCAAAATATTCTCTTCTAACATTTCCTCAATTTATTTTTTAGGTTGTGCATCCAAAAGTTACTTATTTTTTAACTAGGGCATGTGGTTAAATCTCGATAACCATATGTTATAGGTATTCTTCGAATCAAGATTTTTTCCACCTGACAAAACTTCTCTAGTTCTTATTTTCATAATAATATGTTTGAATATTGATGTTTTGTGCCACTATTGATGGTTTCATGGACCGGGAAAGTGCATTTATTTGTATTAATATGCAACAAGTCCATTTGCATTACCTTTTTATTATTTTATGTTCACCCTCTAAAATTTATCTTCATATACTTTTAAAAATGTTATTCTCTTATGAGATGTACATCTAATTTTGTTTCTTAAATCAGATGGCTTCTGTGTCAAATGATTGGATGGAAACTTCTTTAAGGTTGAGTGTCCCTCTGGTTGATGTGGATAAGGTATGTTTGTTATGGCTAGTGTATTATTGATGATTGTATGGCATTTCTAAGCTTCATTCAGTTGTGATCAGAGTGTATGCTATTTGAAAATGAACTTTCTGTGAAAGAAAATGATACATATTTTTCATTCGTTCTCATTGCTAGCTTAATTCAACGCTACACTTATATTGTATTTGAATATGTGTTTATTCATGCACATATAAAAATTATGAACACACACGTCTGCGTGGACATATTACCATGCGCTTATGGAAATATACATGCACATAAACATTGCTATTAGAGCTTGTTTTCATTTAATTCACCTCCATCCATATATATATTAATAGAAAGAGCAGCTCGTGGCTCCTTACGCGTTAATATCAAAATGACGGTTACAATAGGTTAGTGGGAAACTTGGATCCCCGCTAAAAATAAAAAAAATACATAAAGCCCTAGGGGTTCCATTTTCCTTAATACAACTCCACCCAAAAAAGGAAAATTGCTGGAATAAAAGTAAAATTAACCTAAATATACATGTATCAAACCAAAACGTATACCCAAAAAAGTGACGTATATCCTCTATGAGCATGTATATCAAAAGAAACAAAGATAATAGAATCTGTATGCCAATCAACGACATCTCGAAAGCAGGAAACCACAGTATGACCCAAAGAGTCCAAAACCTGCAACTCAAAAAGACTGAAGAAACAATAAAGAAAGAATAAATCCAAGTGGTTAGAATAGAAATAGTGGTCCTCGTTCCTCCAACCCCCCAAGCAGCAAAGACAATCCAACCGGGCCTAAAAAGCCCACCCATAAAATCAGTCCTATTATTGTATCCCCCAATTGCCATATCTCCATTATACAATCTCCAAACCATCATTGCAAATGTAGCAAAGGAGCACTGGGCCTCCATGCTTAAAATATAAAACCAAACAAAAAACACCCAACACAGTCCCCCAGCCCGTAACCAGAGAAAGTCCCCAGCTCCACAACCACAACCACCAACAAATAAGGAGCCCTGGGCCTCCCAAATAAAAACAGATACACCCAACACAGCACCCCAGCCTGTAACCCGAGAAAAACCCCAGCTCGATAACCACGGCCAACATCCAATAGGGAGCCCTGGGCCTTCCAAATAAAGCACAACAGATATAGCAAAGGAGTCCCAGACTTCCATGCCAATGATAAAATACTCTTCATCACAACAAACAAAATGATAAATAGCCATATTCCCAGAGCACCGGACCTCCAAATTACCCAGAGATGAGTGAGTGAGAGAGAAGTTCAGCCTAATTAAAACATGGGCCGATCCAAGCCAGTCGGCCACCCATAATTCATCAAGATGAGTCATTTGTACAAATAAAAGGAGCATCAATATTTTCACCAACCAGCAGAGTATAAAGGGTAGGGGGGAGTAGCTCCCACCCTACAAATTTGACTAGAGCCACCCAAATTAGCAAGTCAATTCGCGGGTTGATTACCCTCGCGATAGATGAAATTCCATATAACATTCATATTAGAAACTAACTCTTTAAAATCCTAATATAATAAAGAATATCTCATGGGGTGTCGGCACCAATAGTTTAAATATCAATCAAGATATGATTGTCACATTCAAAAATAATATACTTCCAACTGAGAGAATGAGCCAATAATGCAGCAGTTAAAATAGCTCGAGCCTCAGCCTAAATAGGGGAGTTCGCATGTGAAGGAGAAGAGAAGAAGAGTATACACTTTCCGTGGTGATTCCTAGCAATGCCCCCACATCCAACACTAGAGACTTTCCAACTCCGATCAATATTAAATTTAATCCACCATCTAGGAGGTGGACTCCATTTGACCAAGGTAGGTGGAGGCAGGAGTCTCCTTACCTCCAAATTCATATGCCCCAAAGCAAGAAAATAATTAATTCCCGAAAAGAAAGCTTTTTTGGAATTCCCAAATCTCCATAATTTATTAATGTAAAAAATGATATTAGTGAAAACCGTCATTTTGTTAATTTCCTTACCCTCATGAATAGTATCGTTCCGAGCCATCCAGATAAACCAACAAATGATATAAGGATATATTTGCCAAAAGTGTTTCTTCTTACGGTCTGGATTGCAAGTCAAGGTAGTGAGAAAAGATTCCTCTCAGGAGAAACAATAGTACCAGACCATAACCTAGCCCTTCTCCAAATAAATAAAGAAAAGGGACATGAGAAAAAGGTATGTTCAATGGTCTCCTCCGCCATAAGACACAAGCAACACCTTGAGGCTATTCTCAAACCTTTCATCTTAAGAATATCATCACAAGTTATGATAGAATGAAAAATACTCCAAGCCAAGAAAGACATCGACGGGGTTAAAGCACAACTCCACACCCTCTCTCCCCAAGGGGTGTTTCGAAAATTATAACGAGAGGCATATAAGGATTTAGTAATAGAGCTTGTCATGGGTAATTTCAAATAAGGAGTATCATGCAGATGAGGATCAAAAGGTATAGTGGAAATGAAAGTAGCTCCCTCCAACCCCAATATATTATTAAAAAAAGGGAGAGTTCCAATGGTCGTCAATCCAAGCATATGAAACTTTGAGGTTAGAAAACCTCGTATCCCTCGTATTCAGCAAAACATGAGACCAACAATCGTGCCAGAAAGATAGGTTACCTCGACCCACCTCTCAATAAATGAAGTTCTTTGCCCAATCTCTAACAGTAAGCAATCTCTTCCACATCGTGAAATTGCCTAACCGCCAATTCGTCAAAGCAGGATGAGAAAAGCGACAATACTTTCCTTGCATGAAGTTAGCCCATAACGACTCTTTTTTCCTGAAATTAAATCATTGCTTGAAAACATTGATATCTGTAATATGATGCAGAGATTTGAAACCTAGACCACTAACGCTTATGGGTTTACAAACATCCTTTCAAGGTAACCATCTTCTACCAGAATGATTTTCCACCCATAAGAACTTATTGAAACATTATTCAAGGGTCGTAATAGTGCACTTTTTGGGTTGGAGAACTTGAAAGATATATAAAGGAAGTGAATGAAGAATACTCCTAAGCAGTGTAATACGTCCACCAAAGGAGATTAAATTATTTTTCTAATCCAAGATTCTTTTCTGAATCTTTTCCACCACCTTGTCAAACTGTATACGTCTCTTCTTGCCCTTAAGGATAAAAACCCCCAGATATTTAAGTGGAAGAGTAGAGATGGAGAAACCCGTAAAATTAGCTATCCAGGAGGCATTAGAACGATTAACCATGTTCCCCAGATACATATTGCATTTATTAGCATTGAAAGAGAGGCCCGAGACAGATTGAAAATCAACCATGACATTATGAATCTCCACGCCGTATTCTTGCTAGCATTAGAAAATAGGATCATATCATCGGCATAAGCTAAGTGAGATACCATCATGTTAGATTTATGAGCATATTGCAATTTGGGGTCCCTCCTGAAAAGCTTGTTAAGAAGACGGGAGAGATAGTAAAAAATTAAAATAAATATAGTAGGGGATAGAGGATCTCCCTGCTTAATCCCATGGCTCGCACTAAAAAAGCTTTGAGATTTGCCATTAATGAAAATGCTGTACTTACAATGAAGCCAGGAATTTATAATTTTGCAGAACTCTTAAGAGAAGCCATGAGCATGGAGAATCTTCAAAATAAACTCCCAGCTAATCGAATCATAAGTCTTACGAATATCCAGTTTAGTAATCATGTTGCCCCCTCTACATTTTTTATCAATATCAAATATATATATATATATTAAAAGAACAGCTCGTAGCTCCTTACGCGTTAAAAATTAAAAAGTTACAGAAATGAGGAGGGATAGTGAAACCCCGACTAGTAACAAAACAGAAAAATCAAAACTTAGGGGTTCCACTGTCCGCATTACAACACCACGCAAAAAGCTTAAAATACATGTGTAGATCCTAAAGTATACCAACGAAAGAAGTATACCCAAAATATACATGTATACCAACCACAAAAGACCACAAAAAATTTTTGAACATTATAAAAATAAAAGTGCAAAGAAGCTAAGTCCAAGATATATCCAACGACTCCCGCCAAAACATGCAAATCGATCGATGTCAGCATCAGTAATATTCAAGTAATATTGGGCATGACAATGTAGGCTAATCTCTATTGACAGCTCCCAAAAAAACAAAATCCATCTTCCATGGAATAACCATAAGTGGGCAGTACAGACATCAAGCATATGAGTTCCACATCTCCAGATATCTGTAAAATCTATAAGAGAACTCCTTGCCAAAATAGTTAATACAATACAATATATCAGGTAACAATAATTGTGCATCAATAGCATATGGCCACACGGAGAAATCATCCAGTCACCAAAGAAGTGTAGAGCCGCAATAACCGTAATGATGAGAGACCTCCCACCCAAAGACAAAATAGTGACCAGCAAAGTGATCCAAAGCTCAGTGCAAATAATAAGCTGGCCCCCGAAACATAAGCCAAGCCAAAGCATTCTACCAGCGAGCCCTCATAAAAATAGACCAAAAAGAGACAAAGAAGTAGAAAAATTAAAATCTATGTAGCAATGATATCCTGCATCCAACCGTAAATGCCAGTCCCAAATAAACTCCAGAATACCCAAGCTACGAATCAAGCATTGCTCATACCACCAAGGAAATGGCCACTGCCAAGTCTAAAACAACCCCCAAAAGAAATTGAAGTCACAGTAAACATGCGAAGAACCCACCTCACCACCAAAATCCTTCCAAGTTTCCATCATGATACATTCTTCCCAACTATGCAAAGAAAATGGAGACCTCAGAAAACCATAATCACGCCCGTGTGACTCTACCAAAAAATACACCATAAGTTCAACAAAATAAGCCCAAATAAATTGCAAATAATGAGAGCCACCGTAAGGCAACCTTGTATCAGATGCCGCAAGCCACATCAACAAGTAAATAATATAAATAATATGTAGTGCTGAGAGCCACCGCAACAAGTAATGGCAATTTGTGGCCGTAGTCTCAAAGCCTCAATTAGTATCG